CCAATTAAAACAAACAATAATACGTTACTTTAATATTTATTCTAGGGTACTAAACCGAGAGAATTACCAATTTCGTTTTCAGCTGAGCACATTTTTGCCTTACCCAATTCCACACAATTGGCTCTTGGGACTCCAAAAAAAGTCAAAGCCAAACTGTGTGCAATGGGAAAAAGGGCTTGACCCCAATTCCTTTATGCCCCAAACAAGACAGGAACCAGCTTTAGGGGAATGTATTACCCTCACAGAAGAAAACTACTTGGTTTCCTCCCTAATCTCGCTTTCATGACATGGCCAGCGAAATGTTGGTCTCCTGGGGAGGGGGCCAACTGATTGTTTGGCAAAGTCGTAACCCAAATTTTAAAAGGTTAAGACAACTTGCCAGAAACCAAAGGTCAAAATAACCCACTCAGCCCAATCACAAAATAACCATTTCTACAATGTTCACTCAAGCTATTGTTACCCTTGTTGGACCTACCAAAATTCAGGCAAGGCTTCCAAGTAACTCCCGATTCTCTTCTGTAAAATGCAATAGTATTCCCTAAAGATGTTACCAAGTATCGAATGATTTAATTCAGTTTTCTATACTATGCAGCACAGAAAGCATTATCTGAAGTCTAAACTGAAAGTTCCTTTGTGGGGGTAGCTAAATACATATAGGATTTGCCTGCCTGCCCTCCTCCTCCCCAAGTCCATCACAGCCATGCTGCATAGTGCAGAGCTGTCACACACAGCAGGTTTGAACATGCAAACTGAGATGGACAAATAGCCTAAAAAACTTGTCCCATTCCAGGTCCTGCCAAAGTTTTAAAATCTTTAATAGCTAATTACACAATATTATTTTACAGTTTGGCCTGCTGTTTATATAGAAAATTAAGTTTAATTTCTGGAGAAGATATATGCTTAAGTTATTGGTGGATGAGAGACCTATTCAAAAGAAAGGCGTTTCTATTACAATCAAGCACATTTAAAAACAACTAGTTTGGGATATGACCTTTATTGAGCTTATCCACCGGAGTGGAAATAATGTCTGTACAAAACCAAATGTTTGTTACTATAACTTCTGCATCACAATTAAAATCCAAACAGTTTTTTAAAAACAGTCAACTCAATCAAAACCCACTACTTCAGAATCAATAGCTTCTTTGAAGCCACAGTAACACTTAAATATGGTTAAGACTCGAATGCAGAAATTTGGTTGGTTGGAAAGCTAATTAAACTTCCAACTTGCTCAAATAGAATTACAAAAAGGCAAAATTGTGTTTTTCACAGAGATACAGTCCACTGGAATCACCAACACTGGACAGCTGTTAGAGTATTTAGAGTCCTGAGATAATAAGAAATCCAGGCATCCTTTAGACAGTCTTCTGTTGTCCTTTCTTCCCAATCAGAGATTTGTGGATGTGTGGAATAACACCTAGGAGAGGGACAGGGATTAATTCTAGTTTTTAATACACATTTAAAAAATCACACTATACTTAAACCAGAACAGTTGTTTAACTTGGCAGATGTCTTTAAATGTGAAATTCAAGTATGCAAAGTAAAAACTCATTAAATTATTCCATACATTGATATTTGATACTGCGTATCAGTGAAATTCTGCTCAGGTGTCCTCTTTTAGATTAAAAACTACTAATGGGAATGTTTAAAAAGCTAAGAATTATTTCCTCTAAAGGAATTCGAAGTAAAATTTTAGTATTCACATACCACCACCAGCAATTGTAGCCTTGATGAGAGAATCCAATTCTTCATCTCCACGAATAGCAAGTTGCAAATGACGAGGGGTAATACGCTTTACCTTTAAGTCTTTTGATGCATTGCCTGCCAATTCAAGTACCTAGAAGGCAAAGACTCATCAATTTTCTTCCAGCTGTTTCTTTAGGCCAAGATCCAGAGCAGAACAAACCTTCATGAACATACATCTAGCAATTGCCTCCCTCCCCTCCCCTCCCCTCCCTGAATGTCAAAATGGCATAAGCTGTAAAAAGGGGGCACGCAATTTTATTTCCCAGAGCAGCTCAAGCTCAGCAGGATCGCTCAATGACCACCAGCTCCCTCTAGCGTTCCCAGAGGCTTCTCGCCGCGTTCGGGGCCTGGGAGTTTTCTTGCATCACTTTCCTCCTTCCCTCTCGCCACCTACTGCACCCCCCCCACCCCCCCGCAAACCATTCCCAGATTACAGGCGTGCACCCCTTTACCTCTGCGGGTGAGGTACTCCAGGATGGCTGCGCTGTACACAGCAGCGGTCGCGCCTACGCGGCCATGGGCTGGTCGCCCTAGATTTCAGGGTCGATGAATACCGGCCCACGGGAAACTTAATTTTAA